GAAAAGTATTTTATTAACCACTCATATAGTCTGTTCCCAACTGACACCTTGGGAAATGTGCTGTTCATATTCATTAAGCTATCTGCTTCATTTATCTATCTTTCTAGTAGTACTTTATTCTTCTTTTTGAAAACAAGAGCCTTATAAGTTCCCTTAGAAAACAAACAACGATGTCATTATTTTCTAATCAGCCTCCTCCTTAAAAAAAAAAAAAAGAGAGAGAGAGAGAGAGAGAGAGAGAGAGAGAAGTAAGCTGGTATGAAAGAAATATTCAATGAGACAAGGAGCTAGAAAGGATTACAAATAAATTTTTGTAAATCTTTAGTTTCTGGCAATTTTGTTTTTCACGGTAGCCATTTTAAAAATGGATAAATCTACCCAACATCCATTCAAAAAGAAAGTCCCAAAGTTTTCCTTAAAATTTCAGTTAATAAGAGGAATCTTATGTCAGTATGGTTCCATGGATGAGTCTGGGGCTAATAGTACATATATGTTGAGGACCAAACAACAAGTTCACCCTGAGAGTGATCCTTCCACAACCAAATAATTTCATTCACACAGAGAGACAGTATCAGGAGGTCCACAAAACTTCAAAATCAGTAGAAATGCAAAAAGGTTTTCCGGGAAGAAATCCTTATGATGAAACCAAGTAAGAGCCAGTTTGGTCTAGTAGTTAATGTACCAGGTTATAAAGCAAGAAACCATGAGCTCTAGTCCTGCCTTAGCCACGAAAGCCAATTGGGTGATCTTGGACCAGACATTCTCTCTCAGCCCAACTCAGTTCACAGGGTTGTTGTTGTGGGGGAAATAGGAGAAGGAAGGTGTGTTGAGTGTGTTCACGATCTTGAGTTGTTTTGCAGAAATAATAAAAGTGGAATATAATTAAATAAAATCCCCAAAACTAAGAATGATGACTGAGGTATCTTGAGAATGTCTGATTGTTGAAGAGTGAATCAAAAGACATGGAGAAAGTGAAGGAAATGAGATATCCTAAAGAAACCTTAGAGATGGGTTTGCTGGAACATGGAAAATAATCTTTCACCATTACAGTATTTTGTTTCACTTTTCACCTTAACAATTGTCTTTATTATAGTAAAGAATTGGAATCTGAAACAAAATACAGACAAGTGGATCTAATGGTTTGTCTTCCATTATTTTCTATTCCTATGAGGCACACCCCTTATTGTAACAAAACTTGCTGAAATATTTTACAATGTATTAGTAGGAATGGATAAACATTCCATTTTTTGAGGAAAATATAAGAATTTTGTATTTTCACAGATATTAATAATTGGGTTTCTGATGGGTAATTTTGGAGTTATGGCTTTTGTTTCAACAGTGCTAAAAAGCCATCAAAATGGATAATGGATAGATAAATAGTAAATCAATAAATAGAAGAGAAATAAATAGTTACCATCAGCAATTTAGTGGCAATTTTGTTGTTGGCATTTGTGAAAGAAATGGATAAAAATATCCAACTCATCCAACATGCTATAAATTTATACAAATTTATAATTTGTATAAATTATTATTTTTTCCTGCCCAATGTCTAAGCACGGAAAAAGCCTATAATTGTGAGGTGATTTGTAGCAGAGAAATGCTGATGAATCAAGTAAATAAATTCATGTAAGCATGCAGTTAGCAAATGTCTGTATAAAAAGCATGGTTCTGAAGCACTGCAGTACCTCTAGCATGGTCTTTGTGGGGGGGGGGGGGGAGAAAACCAATTAATGATCAAGCATCCTCAAACAACTTTCACTGTCCAAAATTCAAGACTAATTCTAAATGATACCTTTGGAATTTTGGGCTTCAAGTAATTACCTATTAGCATTCACGTTCCCCAAAATCAAGTCTGCTCATTTGTCTCAATGGGATTTTCAGAACATTCTTGACAACATCTGAATATTTATACGCTGCCCATCTCAACATCAAATGACTCTAAGCCGCAGAATATCATAGTGAGTAGCACCCTAAATCTAAAATTCTTAATGCCTTTAGAGTTTGTGCTTTAATTTATTAGGCATGGCTAATAGGATATAGAATAATTTAAACCATTTTCTAAAACCTACTACTGTCTTTATACCTTGATGCAATATCTAAAAAAAATTAGGATTCTAGAAATGTTTACTTCTTTAATTTCATTCTAAAATTTGATTTCTTATTAAGCGGCATGCATCTGCCATACATGCTCTATACAGGCATTCTTAAAAGCAATTAACTAAGCATGTGAACAGGGTTCAGCTAAATAGCTTGGTCCACATCCATCATATCACATGATGCTTTTTCCCAATATCCACATATATTCAGAGCATGAACTCTGCACCAGTTGAAGTTATGCATTAATAAGATTCTGGCTCAGAACAAGATCTCTCTCTCTCTCTCTCTCTCTCTCTCACACACACACACACACACACACACACACACATGCTCCAGAGGAGGTATTCAGCCATTTCTGACAGGTTCTGGAGAACTGGTAGTGGAAATTTTGAGTAGTTTGGAGAACCAGCCAATACCACCTCTGACTGGCCCCGCCCCCATCTATTCTCTGCTTCCCAAATCCCAGCTGATTGGTTGGGTCTTCTTTTTGCCCCGCACAGGGGAACAGAGCTGGGAAGCAGGTTAGTGGGGTGGGGAGGGAATGGAGATTTTACAGTATTCTTCCCCTGGAGTGGGGTGGAAATGGGGATTTTACAGTATCCTTTCCCTGTCATGCCCAACAAGCCATGCCCAACAAGCCATGCCCACAGAACTGGCAGTAAAAAAATTTGAATACCACCACTGACACACACACATACACACACACACACCCCTACATACCTACAGTAGTTGGATTGTAGTTGTTTGCATTGTACATAAAGAAGCCAGATGAAAAAACAATTGCAGAAAAAACAATTACTACCCACCTGCCTTCAATTGAGGACCTGTATACTGCACAAGTCAAAAAGAGGGCTGGGAAAATATTTACAGACCCCTCACATCCCAGACATAAACTGTTTCAACTCCTTCCTTCAAAACAACGCTATAGAGCACTGTACCCCAGAACAACTAGACACAAGAACAGTTTTTTCCCAAAAGCCATCACTCTGCTAAACAAATAATTCCCTCAACACTGCTCACCTATTTACAAAGTGTACACTACTATTACTGTTAATCTTCTCACCACTTCTTATCATCCATCCCTTCCCACTTGACTGTTTCCTAGTATGATTTGATTATTGATTCTACCCTATGACTATCATTAAGTGTTGTATGTTATGATTCTTGATTCTTAACGAATGTACCTTTTCTTTATGTATACTGAGAGTATTTACACCAAGACAAATTCCTTGTGTGACCAATCAAACTTGGCCAATAAAGTATTCTATTCTATTCTATTCTATTCTATTCTATTCTATTCTATTCTGTTCTAAACTCAGTTGATACAATTGTGGTCTCAGTTCATAACATCTTTTTATGACTTTCAGGAAAGAATAAGCAGAGTATTCGTGGATTCCACCGCCAACTCTGTGCTTCAAGAGCTGTAATTTTTAGTCTAAATCTGATTGATTGACAATGTAATAGAATCAGCAGACACAGTGCTTTGTAAAATGTGTCATAATTCTTTCCTCTGAGCAATTTTTGCTCTGAATAGCTTATGAGACAGAAAGAACATATCCCGAAAACATCTTTTTTCTGCAGTATCCCAGCAACTTTGTCTTTTTTTCATTCCCATTCATTGGTGAGGGCATTTTACATCAACCATAGCTGGTGTTTTCCCTCTTATTCTAACACTATGCAAGGACAGCCCCAAGGAGTTTAAAATCTGCTATGCTTTGTCACACTTTATGTTGTAAGAAAGTCAGATGACTCCAGCCACTTGAAACAGAAGGATGAGGAGGGATTGAAAATGAGGACAGCAAATTTCACACCAGACTACTTTTCCGTCATCCCGAAAATAGATGAAGTGCATTTCAATTCAGCAATGAAGAAATAATGTTAATTCCAAAGGGAATGGGAATTTAGCTTATTAAAGGGTACGTGGGAAATAGGTGTTTCAAGGAAAACAGGTATCATGCATGTGTTCTGAACCCTGTGAAGGAAAAGTGGATTGTGTAATACACAGACAAATACATGCTTCTCCTTGAAAAGAAAACTGCTCAACTGTTGCTTTTTGACAAGTTCTCTCTCAAAAACTGGAGAAAGAGTGGTGTTTAGTTATGCTTCATTTTGTATGAATTGTCTCTGGAAGCAATGGCTGGTTATTCATCAAGGGCCTTCCTTCTCAGGTATCAGAAGAAGAAGAAAAATGCAGGCTGTTAGATTGAATTACTCAGGCTGTAAGCTTATATTCTATCGGGTTACTAAAAAGGACTACAAAAAGCGAAATAAATTGGAATGCTTTCACCTTCCACTCACATTCAAGTAATTTCACTTCAGTGCTGGGCTACTGCCAGTTCAGATCGGTTCTAGAAAACTAGTAGTTCTGACCATCAGCTGGCCCCACCCACTTGCCAACCCTAACCTGTCCTCTATTTCCTTCTTTCCAGCTCAGCTGATTTGCATGGCACAACAGATTTCCGCACCTCAGCTGTTCTACTTACCAGAGCTGCCCTAAAAGGTTAGCAGTTGAGCCTCAAATTGCTATATTTTGAATGCTGCATACATGCACATGCACAAACCACGCATGAATGCATGAAGCATGCACTCACAGAACTGGTGGTTACACTGGTTTCAGCCCACCACTGGGTGTGACCCTTGCACAATTAGACTATGATCTTTCCTGCGATTACTCAGAAGCTCAGAGTTCTCAACAAACAACACTAGCACAAGTAACTTTTGTTCAGCATCCATTTCAGGAACCGGTTGGCACATTGCACTGCCGGAAATGCTAACTTTGGCAAAAAGCATTTCCAGATGACTACAGAATTCATGCTACATAAACCATGCAGAGAAGGAGAATGATGGAGCCTGAAGGAAAAGGGTGATACTTAAAAATAGGGGAGGGAAAGATAAGTACTCACATGGTAAAAGAATCAGGGGGAGCTGAAACTCTCCTCAGGTCAGCAGATGGCACTTTTTGGATGCTATAGGCAGCAGAGAATGAGTAGCCACAGCAGGAACAGCACAACAGGATGGACAAACAAGAAAAAACCCAGACAGACAGACAGACAGACAAAGAAAGAGAGAAAGACAGACAACATTTAACCAAAACAAAAGGAAAGCATTACATACAAGCTCAATGGAGATGTATATTAGGTTCTAAGGCAGTGTACCCAAAGCCAGTGATAGATACCAGCAAGCACAATGAAAGGAAATGGATCTGGTACCATAGCATGAGGCAGCACAAGGGCAAAAGGTAGGAGACTCTTGCAGCATGGTGCAATCTTGGAAATGGCAAGAGGTGAAGAAAAGCAGAAGCTATCAGAGCAATTGCCCCTAGTATCCCCATTGGAGACTTCATCCAAAGTGTGGCTCAGTATTTCAGATATATTGATATTCAGACATATTGGTGTTTTTTTCAATCACTACTAAAACACTAATCCTTCAAAATGTAATGCAGAGAATCCTGGCTTATTGACTTCAGCGAATGAGAGAGAGAAAATATAGGTACAAGATGATAGGAGAACTGCTGTGCACATTTTGGGTCCTGGCAGAGTTTTGAAAAGGCATTGCATTTACAGTTCATTTTACTAGCAGTAAATAGCTGCTACCATCTCAGTATAAATGGATTCTCCACATCCTCATTGTCTCTCAACCAGTGGTGAGATTCAAATTTTTTTACTACTGGTTCTGTGGGCATGGCTTGGTGGGGGTGGCTTGGTGGGAGCGGCAGGGGAAAGATACTGTAAAATCCCCATTTCCACCCCACCCCACTAACCACCTTTCCAGCTCCATTCTCCTGTGCAGGGCAATAAAAGAAGATACAGCTAATCAGCTGAGACTCAGGAGGCAGAGAATAGATGGGAGCAGGGCTAGACAGAGGTGGTATTTGCCGGTTCTCCAAACTACTCAAAATTTCCACTACCGGTTCTCAAGAATTGGTCAGAACCTGCTGAATACCACCTCTGCTCTCAACCATTCCTTTCACTTATTATCAGTCCAGTGGCCTTGTCATTACAACTCACAGTTTTGGATTTTGCAGCAGGGGATAATCAAAAGATGTGTTTTCCTGCACAAAGGTCAAACAAGGTATTGTGACCTAGGCTTCCCCAAAAACCATTAAGCAGACTTTTTGTCCTGACAAAACCCCCTTTTTTAAATGAAGGTGCATTTCTTGCATTTACATTCAGCCAAAGGCCTGGCAAACAGTCTTTCAAGGGTCTAATTAGGAGTACAGATCTTATCTAGCTGGAGAGCTGCTAAGTAAATATTTTCAAACGTAGTGCTGACAAGGAAGGGCTCGGCACAGAGTCTCTGAGATGCACATCAGATCTTCACACTGCTGCAACGAACGAATTTTTTCCCTGCAAAAACCCCCTTCCCTTTTGCTCCTCTTTTAATTCCTATGGGAGGGGCCATTCACCGTTCACCTGTGGCCTTACTCCCATGTTGACCCTTAGTTTGTAATTGTTCTTTTCTTTTGGCAGCCCTGCACATGCGCAGGCTGGGAACCGGCTCCAGCTGCTTCCCCGCCTCACTGTTGTCCGACTCTGAAGGCAGCTGATAACTGCCAGCTTGCCTAGCCCCATCTCTGCCTCTGACACAGAGCCCTCGTCCAAGCCTTCCTCAGCCTCCAGGACTGGCCCAGGTTCCTCCCCAACCTCCTCACTGTCTGACTCTGCTGCCAGCTCCGCTAGCCTGCCAGGGGGTCATAACACAAGACCCAGAATCAGGTAGATGTCCCTGGTTTAAAGAAAGCAGGTGATACAATTTCAAACATGCAGCTGTCTCATCCCCAGCTTGCAGAGGTATGCAACATCGGCACTCTTCATATAATATATAGAGGCTCCTTTTCCTCTGATATGTCACATAAATATGACAAAGCATCCTTCAAAGCAAACTGCAAGAGTCTTGGGAAACCCTGTCAACACTGCACAAAAGAAAATAATTCAGCTGTATTATATTATTTTTAAGTCCATTTCTTTTTCTTTTTCTTTGTTAAACAAGTCTATAGAATTGCATTGTCCTTAAAATATTTATTGAACAATACCTTTCTTGGACCAATTTAAAGGTTCCAAAAATGTATGTATTTTTAAGACATTATTTTATGATTGCTTACCCATATCTGAAAATATAAAATCCAGTATGGAATACACATAGTCCTCAATTAATGCCTTTCATTAAGTCCAGAATTACAGTTGTAAGTCATTGCTGCCATTAAGCAAACAAGCAAGTAACTGTGCTTGATTTTACAACCTTTTTTGCAGTGGTTGTAAAGTGAATGGTTTTCTCCCGGGGATGCCAACCTTTTGAACCTCAGGGACCACCAAACTTTTAATTTTAAATCCCAGGGTCCACTAATATGAATTTTGACTGATGGTGACCTGCTGACGTTGGTGGGAGAGAGAGAAAGATCGGATCTAACCTTTCTGTCTACCGCTCTCTCTCTCTCTCTCTCTCTCTCTCTCTCTCTCTCTCTCACACACACACACACACACACACACACACAGGCAGAGGCAGGGGTGGGCTTCAAATTTCTTAACAACTGGTTCTGTGGGCATGGCCTAATTTGTGGGTGTGACTTGGTGGTCAAGTGACTGGCTGGGCATGACTTGTATGTAAATATTATAAATATTTATGAAAATATTGATTTTTTTATGAAAAAAGAGCAACTTTTACATAAAACCAGGCAAAACAGGCAGGCAGATTGAGTTGCTCACAGAATGACAGATTCATTCAGAGATCTATCTATCTGCCATCAGCTACCTAAGTCTGCACTGACAAATAGAAGCTTCAGTCCTAAGAAAGGTTCTTCTCAGCTTAAAAGCAGAGCTGAAGATCTAAAGATTAGCTAAAAAGCAAGAAATTCAACCGTTTCCTGCTTTCGAGCTAATCTAAATCTCCTGGCACAGTGGAACAGCTGATGGTTGGGGGGGAAAGGAAAAATAGCAACTTAGCAGGCAAGTTTGCCAGGTAAGGAGTGAGTGGGCGGGAAGGGTTCCCACCGCCCATATGGACGGCACAGCCTTGTACTTCTGCACAGCCTAGATTAATTGCTTTGGGGGGTGGTCTGGGGTTCTCTGTGGACCATCAAAGTTTCTCACGGACCACCAATTGGCAACTACTGTTTTATCCAATGGGTATTATTTTTACCAGAAGTAATTGCTTGAAACCAGCAAAAAAAAAATCACTGTAAGTATGCTGCAAAGGCCAGAAAAGTGAATTTGTTGCCAAGGGCCCAAAATATGATCACATGGCCACACAGGAATGTGCAGCTGTTAGACCTTCAAAATCTGGTCATAAGTACCTTTTGGGAGCCTGTCATAATCTTGAATGGTCACTAATAGAATAGATAGAATAGACAGAATTCTTTATTGGCCAAGTGTGGTTGGACATTCAAGGAATTTGTCTTGGTGCAAATGCTCTCAGTGTACACAAAAGAAAAGATACATTCATCAAGAATCAAGAATAATCAGGTACAACACTTAATAATAGTCATAAGATACAATAAGCAATCAAATCATACTAGAAACAGTCAATATAAATCATTATGATACCAGCGACAAAATTACAGTCATACCAGTTGTTGAGCAAGGACAACATGCATTTACATTTTTGTGTTCCTTATGAATATGCCCCAAAAAATATTTATTGTAGGCTCTGAAATTGGACTAGAAAAAAAATTGTTCTCTCTCTCTCTCTCTCTCTCCCCCCCCTTCTTTTTCCCTTTCTCTCCCACATGTACATATGACAATCAGCCAGAGCTGTGCACTATCCTTACTTGCAACACCACTACAGGTAGTCCCCGACTTACAACAATTCATTTAGTGACCAAGGTTAAAACAGTACTTTAAAAAGTGACTTATGACCGTTTTTCACAGTTACAACCTTTGCAGCATCTCCGGGATCATGTGAACAAAATTCAGACATTTGGCAACTGATTCATACTTACGACTATTGCAGGATCCCAGGGTCATGTGATCACTTTCTGCAACCTTCTGACAAGCAAAGTCCATGGGGTAGCCAGATTCACTTAACAACCGGGTTACTAACTTATCTACTGCAGTGGTTCACTTAACAACCATGGCAAGAAATGTTGTAAAATGGGACAAAACTCACTTAACAACATAAATTTTGGGCTCAATGGTGGTCGTAAGTCGAATACTACCTGTATAACATCTCACAATAAGCTACAGATAATAACAGTATGTCCTTGACTATTTCACAACTTGTACAAGTCACACTGAAGAGGATCAGGTTTCAATCCATTAGTAATACAAATATAAAATTACATTATCCAGAATCCAGAATTATCCTTCATTCAAATTATAAAAGTCCTCTCATCCCCTTTCCTGATCAATTAAAAATGATCAGACTTACAAACACAAGAGCAGTTTGCACTGGATATAAAAGGGGACACGAGAGCTTTGGAGAACTGCAAAGTACATTTCGTGTGTGACATTTTTCTGCTTGATGTTTAGTCAAAATGGCTTGAGGGCATCAAACTTAATCCCCTCCCCACCTTTAATTTAGCCTGAGGTCAGTAAATTGTAACCTAGAGTAGGAACAAGATAAAATTGAAACACAACTGAAAAAATCCATAACTAAAACTAAACACTTTTCGATGGGAGGTATCATTTGCAGATTTGTATAACTCCAACTTGGATTTCTGAGACAAGGGGATAGTTTTTAATATTGCTGTTCTGAGGCTCATTCCATAATGGGTAAATTTTAAAAGCAAATACACATATTAAATTGATTATATTAATCTCCCTTTTTTTACTATTACTTAAAAAAAAATCACTCTTTAAACTTTGGTCTTAAGCTCTCAGTAACAGTTTTGTGCTGCTAATGAATGTTCTGTTCTTCCATGTTCTCCCATGTTCCTTCTGTTTGACCAATAAAAGGGTGCAAAATTCAGAAACTAGCTGTGCACACACACACACATCATTCTTCCCCCATCATGTTTGCTTTTCAAAGGGAA